TCAGGTATCATATTTAGATGCTCTGCTGAGGAGATGACAAATTATTTCTAATATGGGTGGATACTATTCTGAATGGAAACTTTAGACAATGCTGGCCGTGGCACCTAGAAATAATTGATCAACTACACATTTTCTTCCAGTTTGTATAACCCTTTCCTGGTTTTGCTATTCTGACTACTTCATAAAACAAACAAAAAAAAAACAAAACACAGAGCGCCCTAAGGCAGTTCCTATCCTGTGCCACAAAGTCCCCAAGGCTAGTATTTTACTAATAACTTTGCCATCAAACTCACCCAAAATATCCTTGTACAAACTTCAACTTTCAATGCAACTTTCTCTAGTTCTCCCTTAACTCAAAGATAAATACTCCATTTATTCCTGACAAGGAAAATCTCACATTTATAAATTACTTCCCATCACCTTTAAAAAAGTTAGCAGCAAACCCCGCTTTATTCACAGTCCCATCAGAAACAAACTTCATCCACAAGGTGTTGGAGGTCGACCTTATGTCTTCAGGTTTATCATAGCCACAGAAACGCCCTATCAAAGGGCTGTTTTCACTGGCTCCATCTCGGACTTCTAGGTAGTCATAAGCACAGTTGTCGTGTCTTTCTATCTGCAACAATAAAAATACGAACACATTATCTCATTTATAGTAGAGCAATTTCCACAGGAAGACGCAAGTTTTCCCAGGGCTATGCACAGACTAGTGACATCAAATATAAAGGGTGATTTATATGCCATGAACACACACGACGAGCATTTCTCATGAGGTACACTGTGAAAGCCACACTGCACGAAAATGAGGAGCATCGTTCTGGTAGCGAGGTTAAGAAAAAACAAGCCATTGGAATAGTATATCCACAGGAGTCAGGATCAACAGACGTTAACTATCTTTTAAAAGAAAATTAGACCCTTGTGTGGTCCACAAGTGTGCTGGTGGGGCTTTCACACTCACAGGCATGCTTCTTTCAAACCTTGTGAAGATATCTGCACATTAGCCATCTGACATGAAAAAAATAAGAAAGAAAATGAAACTGCAATCAATAATTCTTCAGTAAGTAGAGCCCCAAAATATCCAGAATTAAAACTATGGGTAAACATATGGACCAGGCCAGTCACACTGTAGTTGTGCTGTGGAGGGGTGGGGGTGCTGCGGAGAGTGTGTGGGTGCTGGACACTGTCCGTCCACCTCCTCTCTGGACTTTCCACCCTGCAAACTAGAGCCTTTATTTTAACCAGCTCTGCAACTTAAGCCCTCACTACATTGTTCCCTTACTGAAATTTTGTAGAAGTATATGTGTACTTACTCTTATCATCTAAAAGCTATTTTTCCTGCAGTTTTATTTACAAATAAAATCTTATTTCTCATGAAAAAAGATCTCAGCCACACAGACCACAAGCAATGTATAGTTGCTCTGAAACATAGTTAAAAAAAAATGCTGGTTGCCTGTGATATAATTGTTATTTTATTCACAGAAAAGATGGACTTGAAATTTTCTCTTGATAAATACAGCACAATTTTAGGTTATAAATCTATTTTTGAAAGGGAAATCTGACAACATGGGATTACAATTCCTTCCAGCCTGTGAAGTTCTTTACCTGTACTTTGCACGGCTGCCTCTAGAAAGATGATATGGCAGACTCGCCTCTCAGCCTGGGACAACTCAATCTCTTTCCTTAATAGCTGAATGAAAATACATCAGAATCTCTGTAAGATGACCATCCAAGGGACTGTAACAAACTGGTCAATATACAGAGCTGGTCAACATAAGGACCGAGGCTGCGGTACTGATATATACATGTGGTGCTTGTCTGGCTATGAAAATTAGGTCAATCTAAGGGGGTGGTCAGATGCAGAGAGTCTACTGAATTAGGTCACATTATTAACCTAGGAAGCTTTATGAAGAACTACACATTCCTGGACCTGTGTTTTGGCTCCAAACTTCTTCAGAAAAAAAGAGGGAGAAAGAAAAACAAAAAACCAAAGCTGGGACGGCGCCTATGGCTCAAAGGAGTAGGGCACTGGCCCCATATGCTGGAGGTGGCAGGTAGCCACCAGCCCTGGCCAGAAACTGCAAAAAAAAAAAAAAACCAAAGTTGATAAATTCTTATGAAAATTGTAAGATAATTTATAAATACTTGGTTTTTGCATGTTCACAGAGGCCCTAAAGGATTAATAGAGTCAGCTGCTTATTAGATATTTAAATCAAGAAAGCACAGAAACTACAACATAGAAAATTCCACATCTTGTCAAGTATCATTCAACACACAATTCCTTAATTTAAGGAACGTTCCCATTACTAATGTTAAAAGATACAAGGAATGTTGTGGGATGTCAGAGAGCATCCACAGAACTACGAAACCTGAATCCAGAAAACGGCTGGCAAAGTTGGTTGAAAAATCGCTTATCTCAATTGTTAATATGTTAACAAGGACAATCTTCAAATTTGGCAGCATAAAGACAGACAGAAAAAAACTAGATCGTGCAGCACAGATTTGTTAAAAATGAAACGGTCCACTTGCTTCCTCCTCTTCCTCCAGCACAAAATGGACTGATTCCTGCCTCCAGTGATGCTCAGAGCCTCCTCTGTGCTGGGCACTCTCCCCACTGCCTTCAGCCAAATAGCACAGAACTAGGCTCCTGGAGCTCGAATCCTACTGATAGTTACACAGAAAAAATGAATGGTAAAAAAAGATAAATAATTAAATCATAAAATATTAGAAAGTAACAAATTCCATAGAAAAAATATAAAGTGAAAAAGAAAAAAAGAGAGAGAAGTAGGGGTGGAAGAGTGAAGGTTAAAATTTTATTTTGTTTATTTTATTTTTATCTATCTATTTGTTTATTTATGTATTTATTTGAGACAGAGTCTCACTCTGTTGCCTGGGGTAGAGTGTCATGGTATCATCATAGCTCAGAGAAACCTCAAACCCCTGGGCTCAAGCAATCCTCTTGCCTCAGCCTCCCAAGTAGCTGGGACTGAAGGCACCAAGACTGTGGCTTTTAAGTCACTAGTAATTCAATTAGTCACCACTGATGACAAGGCTGATCTGATCAACTACGTCTGTCCTTTTGTCTCAGTTTTTAGTGTAATTCCTTTGAAATCAGGATTCTCTATATGTGTCGGAACATTTCCAGAAGGCCAAAGGCTCCTCAATCAACAGGACACAAAACAGTTTCAAAACTTGTAGGGCTTGATAAGAAAATAAGCAAAGGTCCCAGCTAGGCAGCCTGTCCCCCTGGTCAGCAGCCCAGTGGGAATTGCTCCAGATTCATGAATCATATTAGAAAAAGGGGGAAAGAATGACGTGAAAATACACGGTGAAGAAAGAAACTCCTTCTAGGAGAAAGTCCACAAATAAAAACAAAATTACATTGTTTCATATTAGAAACCAGGCTAGAACAAAAATTATTAAGTTTAATTAAAAAGAACTTTTAAATTATTATGTTAAGAAGATTGTTGCTTTTAAAAATTATAATACTAATAAAAAAAACAAGATAGGCACTATTGCAAATAAAACAAAAATTTTAGATTTCTTTAGTGATTAAAAATAAATGGTTGCAAAGCAGGATGCAGAGTCTTCAAAGAACCAAAAGTAGCTTTACCGTTGGCCCTGTAGTCTCAATACAGGGCATCCTACCAGAAAGACCCTCGAATGTTTATAGCAGACAGTTCATAACTGCAAAGACCTGGAAACAACCCATGTGGCCATCAACAAATGAATGGATTAAAAAACTGTGATATGTGTATACCATAGAGTACTATTCAGCCATGAAGTAAGGAGATTTTGTATTGTTTGTAACAACCGGGATGTAATTGGAAAACATTTTCCTAAGTAAAGTATCACAAGAATAGAAAACAAAAATACATGTACCCAGTACTAAATTGGAACTAAGAGATTAATACCTACATGCTCACATGACAGAAAAACTCAATGAAATTCAAGCCTGGGGTGGGGAGAGGGAGGAAGGTATAGGGCAAATTCCCACCCAAAGGGCCCATTGCATGGGTACATGGCACACCACCTTGGTGTAAAACATGCCCTCTGACGGGAATTTAATCTTACAAGTGCAAACTATGAAATCTAATTATTTGCACTTCCACATTAATCTGAAATTTTTTTTTTAAATGGGATAGTTTACATTGCCTGGTCCATTAAACTCACTCTGTTCTTTTAACAGATATATAATAGATCACTTTAAATTTAAATTCACAATATATTCACTATTTATTAGAAATTGAGGTTGAAATATAAGATATACAAAATATAACTATAGTAGAATCTCTGTAAGTTGACCATTCAAAGGACTGTAACAAACTGGTCACACATGGAGCTGGTGCACATAAGGAACTAGGCCCACTGTACTTACTGGTAAGGACATGTGGTGCATGTCTGGTCTGTGAAAATCAGGTCAACTGCAGGAGGTGGCTAACTACAGAGGTCCTACTGTATTTCATGGGTAAAAATAATAATGTTAGGATGAATTGCACTAGTATGTCCTTACTACTTTAATATGATACACATGCTATTGGAGTAACAAAACAGCAACAGACACTGTATCTGACATAGTAAATGACCTAGTAAATGCTATAGTTGTCATTTGCTTAGAAAATAACATGAGCCTCATCTACATGAATTTGTGATATTCAGAAATACATTAACCCTTCCCAACAGTAATCCTGGATGGTCTTTTGTTACCTATTTTTCCATTTAACCTTAAGTGCAATGCCTGCACAATGGATCTTCTCTATTCATGTTAATTATAACTATTAACTATAGTTATTTATAACTATTTCTTCAATTACATTTACACAGGAGCAATAACAGTGAGCACAAGTGGAAGTTTGAGTTATTTTATTGGTGTTGTTTTCTCCACCTCCATCAAAGCACTTCATCCAACAATATAAGGAATGGATAGAAATAAAGATGGTTGAAGCTAAAAAGTGAACTGAGTCCACTGATGTTATGCCAGTAGCCCATGAGAAAAAAGAACCCCAGAGTCAAGTCAATGATGTCTAAAAGAGGAAGGGGGGAACGGAGGAAGGGAGGAAAGGAAGAAGGAAGGAAGGAAGAATGAAGAAAGGAAGGAAAGAAGGAAGGAAGGAAAGGGGGGAAAGAAAGAGCAGTTTCTTCTTGAGTTAAAGCATGGACATAGTTCAAAGAGCTGGGAGCTAAATTCAATGTCATGCAGAATTACACGTATAATAAATATGTTTTGATAATGATGAGGCTGATTAATTATAGAGTTTAAGGTAATCTGAGCATAAACCAGATAGGAAAGTTGAAGTTTACCGTAACATAAACAGAACTGATATGTGCACAGAGCAAGAGCACAGTGAAAACGAGAGTAAGCTCTGAACATTTTTCAGAAAACTGATCCTGGAAGTAAGCACAGGACTAGCCAGAGGGGTTAATATTATGTTCCATTACTAATTAAGGGCTCATATCTTTGATGGCAGAATAGAAAGAAACCATTAGAAAAGTGAGTGGTTTCTATTTAAAAGAACTAAAACAAATTTAACCAAACGTGATCAACCTCTCATTCTAAACTGCACACCCCCCCCCACCCCCCCGGCATAGAGCTTTGTCCTGAGTACACGAGGAGGGGGAGGAGGGGCGTTGACGCTGAAGAAAAGCCAGCCCTGGGGAATGGCAGACTGTGGACCCCTTCCATGCTTTGCCTTCATTTCATAGCCCAGTTTCCAAATAAATGCAGCACTGCACAAACATCTATTGCAGTGCCAAATTATTTATAAACAGCTCTGAAAACCCTAACGTTTCTAGATAACAGGTTCAATAAAAGGTACTCCATGCTCCCTGAAAAATTAAAAGTAGAATTACCGTATGACCCAGCAACACCACCTCTGGTTAAATACCCCAAAGAAACAAAAGCACAGACTTGAAGAGATATTTACACATGTGAGTTCACAGGAGCATTATGTACAAAGCCAAAAGGTTGAAGTAACCCAGGTGTTCATTGGCAGATCAAAGGATAAACAAAACGTGGTACTGGGCTACAATAAAACACTATTCAGGCTTAAAAAGGAAGGAAATTTTGATATATACTATAAGATGGATGAAACTTGAAGATGTTATGCTACGTGAAAAAAGCCAGTCACAAAAAAGATAAATACTGCGTGAATTGACTTGCATAAGACAGCTGGTGTAGTCGGAGTCACAGAGAGAAAGAAAGAGGGCTGCCGGGCCCAGGGAGAGGTGGGCGGTGCGGGGGAACGGGCAGAGCTTCAGGTCTGGAGGGTGAGGACGAGGTCTGGAGACTATCTGCACAACAGTGTGAATCTTCCTGATGGTCCTGAACAGCACACTTAAAAATGGGTAAGATGGGAAATTTTATGTACACTTGAATAAAAGCCATGACTTGCAATGTAGTTTTAAAATATTGTAATTTATGCAACAGATATAATTATTGCAATCAAAATGATGCAAGTTTTATAGTCAGTATTATTTATAATGTTACACTTGTAGCAAGGTTAAAGCTTTTTTTTTCCTTTTGAGAAAACTATTAAAAGAAAATAATGCCTAATGAAAAAAAATGGACTAAAGTCTATTGATACGAACAAAATCTATTTATTTTTAATAAAATGAGAAAAGTTTAATAATTATCTTTAATTTATCATATTTAATTATTTCATAAGTACTTTTTTTTTTTGAGACAGAGTCTCACTCTGTCGCCCCTGGTAGAGTGCCGTGGTGTCATAACTCACAGCAACTTCAAACTCCTGGCTCAAGTGATCCTCCTGCCTCAGACTCCTGAGTAGCTGGGATTATAGGTTCCCACCACAGTGCCCACCTAGTTTTTCTATTTTTAGTAGAGACAGGGGTTTCAATCTTGTTTACACTGAATTCGAACTCCTGAGCTCAAGTATCCACCTGCTTCAGCCTCCCAGGGTGCTAGGATTACAGGCATGAGCCACTGTGCTGGGCCTGTTTCATAATATTCTTATTAGCAATATTTAATATTAACAGTAATACATAATTACAGCCAAAAATATGGAGATAAAAATGCTCAAACATGTTAAAATGAACCGCATAAGTCTTGCTCAGGTTCATTTTCATGTGGCTCAGTTATTTAAATGTTGCTACTTCATCTTTTTTCTGATATACAGTAAATTTTGCATTTAGTCATAAATTTAATAATTGTATGTAAGATGGAAGACTATGTCCAAATAACATGCATATACCAGCAAGTACATATTTCCTGGCCATAGTATGATAAATAAACAGATGGCCCTGCACGACTTACACACACGGGTAAACGGCACAGTGCACACCCGAGGGGGTCAGAAGAGGGAGGCTGTGAGATGGTAAAATACCAGCGCCTCTCTTTACGGCAGACCTGTGACCTCAGTGCATAGACCTGGACTTGGTTTCAATCACAGCACTACCAATTATGTTACCTTGGCAAGTTCATGAAACTGACAAGTGCTAACCTTTCAGGTACGATTACAACCACGCTGTAATTCATGAAGAGATTTCTGTTTTATACTCATCATCAGCATAAATTCTTAGCTGAGCACCAAAAAAACAGTGCACAGCATGCAGAAAATCATTAACTAATTAAAACCTTCTTATCTCAACTAACTACTTCATTCATAAAGACTAGTCGACGTAATGCAAATGAAAAAAAAATATTTAAGGGATTGAAAAACAATCCACCAAGTACCAAGACACATTCCTATGTACACGGTTCAGAACACAGCAGGCTGTGGTCGTGATGCCTGATATTAAACACACGAAACATCTCTGGGTTGCATAAGCAAAGCGTCACCAAATCAGCATGTGTAGTGATGTGGACAAGTCCCTCAAACCTAATCCTACTTGAATTAATGTACGTGGGGATTTGAATTTAAACAAAAGTTAAGCCCCAGGTTTATTTCACCTTTTCTGCTTTACTGACACTTCTTTGAAGTGGTTACTATAAACATTTCCTATCCTCCAAACTTTTCTCTTCTGTATTTCCGCACAGTGAAAGTTCTCAAATAAAGTAATAGTTCTAGAAGCTTCTTTACAAACAATACTGCTGCGGAACACAGAACACAAGACAAGCTTTCCAAATTAATCGCAGAGGGGTCTGTGTTTATACACAAACCCACAGGCTACAGCGGTCTTAAGAAACAATGTATCCAGCAGCTACTGGAGAAGGGAAAGCTTCCTGTCTTAGGACATTCCAGATACTACAAGAAAACGGCACAGTCTGGGCAGCTTACCAACAACAGAAATTCATTTCTACAGTTCTGGAGACTGTGAAGGCTAGGACCAGACACTTAGAGACCCAGTGTCCCGACAGCTGTCTCCACCCAGGTCCCCTCTCGCTGAGCCCTCACAAGGCAAAGGCTTCCCAAGCCTCTTCAGTAAAGACCCGGATCCCTTCATGAGGGCTCCACCCTCAAGACCTACCTGCTTCTCAAAGGCTTTCAGCTTCTGTTGCCATCACCTTAGAGGTTAAGACTTCAATCTGTACATTTTGGAGGGATACATTCTGATCATGACACTTCTGAAACAGCATAATACAAGGCACCAGCATACCACTGCCCTCCGAAAGGTGTCCCTTCCTGCTGTAAGATGCCTGAACCCCTTCCTCGGGGTTCCTCTCTGCACCTGACCTTAAATCCTAGCAGCACAGGGAAGGGTGAAGCCGAAACATAAACTGACATAAAGGTGAGACTGAGAGACAGCTCCTCACTTCTTCACAGTGGACAGCAAGAGAATGATGGGCATGCTTATCTTAATGGCCTTGTCTGAAGACGAATAGGGTAACCAGAGAATAAAAAGCAAAAATAGTTTTCAAAAAAAGGCAAAGGCTAGAATCAGCTAATAAAATCGAGCTTTGTCAGACAAAACCAGAAGACATTGAGAATTAATACGTTCTCAGCATAAAATATGCAATTGGCATATTTAAAACATTTATTATGTAAATAACATTAAATTGATACAAACAGATAAGCGACCAGATTAAACAAACCTACTAATGACTAGTAGAACAAATAAGAAAATACATGCAGCTGACTCTGGATATTCCTGGTAGGTATTGTCTATAAAGTCATTAAGAAGAGCAATGAATGAGCAAATACTGGGTCACTGCTCCCGGGATCAGGGGCCTGCAAGATTACAGTCACAACATTGCTGTGAACCAATCAATCTGTAACCTTGTTGTGTGTGGCACTGGTGGTCAGATTCCAGAGAGAGGGGCAGATCCACGGCAGGAACTGCAGCAGTTGTAAGTGCAATGAGCTCAAATAAAACAGAGTGAATGGTTTAAAGATAATTGTAGGTAAGGAAATATTTAAAATAGTGTTGTCAGGCAAAAATTTTTTAAGAAGGCAACAATTAAACAAAAATCCAAATCTACTGTGTCTGGGGAGCTAGATGGCACACACCAGAGGGCAGGGCCAGGAGCAGAGTACAGAGTCACGGGATGAGGGCAGCGGCTCTGTGCTGGCTGGCCTCACCTGGATTCCCTGGGGTACCTGTGGGCACAGGACAGGGTCATGGTCACTGCACTCAGCGGCAAGCACCCCTTGGCATGGGACAGGACTCTACTGCTTTCTGAGTGCCTGGACAGGGAAACAACTTTCTAGTCAATGATGGAACAATCTACAATTACAGCACCTGAACTTGAACTCATGCCAGGACCTATCAGCCACCTGCTTCTTCCTACTTCACTTTAATCCTGTTTTCTAGACTGATTCTGACATAAACACACTCTGAAGTTCCTAAAATATTTCCCCATTTCTTGGCTTCTAATCCTAACCCAGCTCCTCTTATCCCACAAAACTGATTTATTACCCACGTTGGTAGTTTGGGCCCGGATTTTGATCCAAAATTCAGACGGGCTGCCTTCTGGCTTCTTTCCACCCTTGGTTTAGTCACCCAATCATGCGCAATCTCCCTGATAAGCATCTTTGGGAAAGTCAAAAGCTCCTAAGAATACCTGAATCCCTGTTTTTGATAGAAACAATTATCTGTGTGGCTG